TCTGCTCTAGTGAGAGCTCCAGCTCCAGTTGGTTACACAGCCTGGCACATACACACCTACCCCTTTATCTGTCTCCTTACTGTTAAGTAATAATGTCCCATGCCAAAGTAACACGAGCAAAGGTTTCTCCCTGATGTGACAGAGCAGAAAGGGGAACCAAAGTGAGACATAATGAACTATGTTTCACTGACATTAGTGGAGTCATGAGCAAATAGGGTAGTTGAAGCAGCAGGAGTTCCCTTGAAATGTTTACTTTATTTTGTCCTTGATTGGGGGCTGATATCAAACAGTGTTTGTGAGGTACCTCCTGCCCCACCAGATAATGGAAAGGCATACTTTTTCAACTGATTTATATCCAGTTCTGTTATTGAAAGGCTAACTGAGTGGAATTTGGAAACCGCCTCATGGTCCATTAGCTTTTCGTGTTTGCAGAACAGCAAACCCCAACATGAACAGAGGCCATTTTACTTTGAAACAGTCTCTCTTCTGCCTCAGTAATTTTGATGTTTGCTTAACAAGTTGTGTGTTCCTGGCTCTATCATTGATTAAGCTACCTCTCTATTTCATGTCTTCTTTTGTCCAACCAATCCAAATACTCCAATTCTCCATAGTGTTAGTATCCTTTGCACATTCCATTATGAGGAACATTGGCCTCCTTTTACAAGCCAGAGATGATCCATCTACCTGTTTTATGGAGAATTTGCTCTCATGGATGTTATGAGTCTGCTAGGAGGCACACAGGAATTGAACTCAGTAGATCAGTAAAAGTATTCTGTCCTTAGGAAGATTCACTTGTATCATCTCAGATATTCACGTTTACTGTTTGGATGTGCCCAGTCTTTACTGATGGCCAGAAAGACTTTTGCACGTGTAATAACTGACTTGGCCATAGTAGCACATTCCTTGATTTCTTTCATCAGGAGAACTACAGTACATTTAATAGTGCTTGGAAGCTTCAGGCAGTCCAAAATATTGGAAGAACATTCTGAAAGGTCTCACACTGCCCTCTTACTACCAAATTTGTTGGTCTTTACTTCCTACTGAAATTTGGTAGCAGAGAAACTCAGCAGATAATTTGCTGCTCACTGCCACAAGAAATCTAAATCAATGAGCAAAAGCTCTCTTCATTAATTAACGCTCATTCGTTGCAATGTTATTTGAATGTTTCCAGAGAGAACGAGGTAGAAATCAGGATAGAGAGAGTCCCCTTGCATTTCTCCCATCTCCACCTGTGGAGGGTTGTCCCGTTTTTTTCTATTTGGGTCGCTTTCTCTGAGCAATATGGTGTTATGCTTCTGAATTGCATTTGCAATTCCGCTTTCCCTTTTTGATTCTTATTTTGTTCCTTTAATCAAAATCTTCTTCCATTTTGGGGTGGAGATTTGACCATCAGTTTTCA